CGCAATGGATCAAGTACTCTTACAGTGGACATTTGCAGGGAAACCCTGCTCACTACCCTGGTGGTGAAAAGAGTCTGTCAAAACTAAGCATCTACTTAAGCTTTCACAGGCCCTAGGTCAGCAGTTCTGGTTGAAAAGTAGAGCTGCAAAACCAGTCTTCATGAATCATGTGAGATTCGTGAAACACACTGCATCTACTGCAGCATCCTCTTGGATATTTTTTATTATGTCTAAAGAAAATAAGCAAATAGCCCCCCACCAAGCCAAACCAAACAAGCCTGTGAGGCTTGAAAGTTCCAAGAACCAGACCCTGAACCTTTTAGGACTTGAACCTGTCCATTCCTGATGGCAATCTCTGAAAACATGCTTCCCAGCACAGCCATCTTCTTGTCTCATTTTCTGATGTTTTCTTACCAGACTGAGCAGGGCTTCACTCTATTGGTTTCAAAAGCACACAGCTGCTGATACAAGATTACAATAAGTTCTATATTGCAGGTTTCCCTTTCCGAATTACCTTTGGCTGCTTTTCAAAGACTGGTACATCCTGAGTGCTAAGGAAAACTCCTTCTCCATTGTTCTCTCCCATTGCATCATCCCAGAATGCAGAATCAGAGTGAAGATCGTGGCTCTCAGCACACTTCCCTGTTCCAAGAGCTTTCCAGCTTCTCCAGGCTTCACCCCAATGAATTGTTGGGGTCTTGTTTTGTCAAGCAAGAACCTAGCCATGCTTCCCAGGCAGCAGTACAAGTTGCCAGGTCCTGCCCTGTAACCCCTTTACTTGAAGTGTTACTGCACCTCAGGAAGCAACTTGTATCTCTGGTTTGACCTCAGGCACACACAGACTTCTTGAGGCATTAGACACCTTAACACCTCCTCTGTTAGCAAGCACATCTTGATCTTTCTTCTTTTTCTCCCCCAAAAGGCTTAAAAATACCGTACAGGCCACAGGAGAGGACTGAACACTGTCTGCTGACTTTTCAAAGAGAAAACAGGCAGGCAGCTTATCTGAAAACACACACAGATAAGGTCTTTAAACATAAAGGACCCTGTGGCATTTGGGATGCCAGCAGGAGAACAGCCCCACTCCGACACCCCCTGCCTCCAGGCCAGCACCATTCCTGAAACCATACCCAGCATGGGAGATGCTGGAAATGAAAAGCAAAGAAAACTGCTTGGCTGTTTAGACTTAAAGTGAGTATTCCTGGCAGGTTTTAAACCTAGAAAGGTTTTATACATGGCATCTTCTCCATGTACCCCTACGATGATACAACCGGTGTGCAGGCAACCATGAACCACAACTGCTTTCTCTCTACGGACCCATTACAAGACACACATCTCTGACCAAGACGTCATGGTAGGTGCTTTCTATATACAGGGCAGATAAGAAGAAAGGCCTCGAGGGAGATGCACATCTCTGTCTAGAGCGACAGCATTACTTAATCATCCAGCTTGGCGAAATAGCTGAGAAAAAAAACATCACGTGGTTGTCACTTGAAAAGCAAACTTCAGTATTAGCCGCACACAGAGACTGCTCTCTGGAAACTGTCTAAGTAGGTGGCAGTTCCAGAAGTATGAAAACTTGAGCAAACCCATGAAAACGAAAAGGATGACTAACTTAATACTATCATTACAGCCTATGAATTATTCACTGGGCTCCAGCCTATGTGCACAAGGCACATTTTTTAATGCACTGTGAGAGTGCATTACAGATGGCTCCCTGCCATCTGTGCTGGGAAGTCCCTTAGGCATGTATTCTGCAGCAATCCCACAGGAGAGAGCCATACTTTGGCCAACCCATGTACTTACAAAGGGAACAAGGTCCTCTTCCTGCAACAGCTCTAGGGTAGTCACAATGGAGGCCATTGCACTTTCTACCTCCCCTTGCTTGTGGCATTTCTCACCCTTTCTAGATATATGTTCTCCCTTGGAAAACATCTACAAAATCCCACAGAAACAACAGAGGCTTAGGGATTGCAAGAGGGTGACAGAGGAACTAGTCCTGTACCTGGAGCCTAAGGCCACTGCGTCCCACATGGACAGTCGCATCCCACGTATCACCAGGTCCCAAGGGACTGATGGAGCAGAAGCATGCTGGAGTCACCAGCTGATCTGCCTCCTCTTGTGCACAAAACATTAGTGCTTCCTTGGTGTTTTTCCAAATCTAATTTCAAAAGTTCAGTGGAAAATTAAATCTGTCTAAAAATGCTAGACTTACTGTCGGTGCAAATTCTTTTTCTCATTATTTTAAGTTGGTGAAAGAGAAAGGGGGAGAAATTATTTTGAAGAAAAAAGCATTATTTTCAGGAAGCAATCCCTTCAAAAGCCCAACCCAGAGATAGTTTCTGCTGCCAAAAGCTCTCATGCACAGAAAAGGTCATGCACCCGGCATCCCATTGCCTCTGCATTCTCTGCAGCCCTGAAATTCACATGGTCTTTTTGGGACAGACAAAAGCCAAACCAACAAAACAAACCCTGGCATTTCTCTGCAGTGCTGGGTTAGTGAATAGCTGCCAACAGGACTCTAGCAGCCAGACCTATCCCGCAGCATGCAATTTTTTTCATTTTCTGCAGCCAGCATTTCTTTTAGCAGGATTTCTCCTACTGCTGCAGTTGTCCTTGTATCTACACTTCTAGTGACTCAGCTTTGTTACACCAGCCTTCATGAAAATATAATCATACCACCAGAAAACCTGTGCGAGGGAAGGATGAGGCCCCAGAGCTGGTGGTAATTTCAGAAGATGAGCGGGCTGAGAGTTCCTGAAGGCCCATGTGCCCTGCCTGCACTTACTTGAGAGAGGACAGCTGAAGGTAAGGCTCATTCAGGGATATCCAACATCTTTGGGCATGACCAGGCACGGACCACTCCACCTGCACACTTCTATTACTTGCCTCAAAGGGTACTTTTTGAAGGCAGCTTAAGAAAACAGATATTCACTTTCCATCTGATTTGCAAAGTCCTCCTCTCTATGGCTGCTTTGTTTCTGGCATGAACAAACTGATCATCACCCCCGGGAGTACTGAAAGAGCACGCTACTGGGAAGGATGTTTGATGCCACAGGTTCACCAGAAAGGCCTGGTTCTCCTCCTGAACAAGATCAGTCAGATAGACAACAAAATACAGTCACCACTCCTGTTGAATCAAACACGATGGCATACAGATGCAATTTCAACATCATACAGTGAATTAAACACTCATGGCTGGATCCATTAGTATATCTCCTGACTGCCGCTCCACCACGATAAACAGCGAGACTAAACCAGAAGCTACACTTACCCACATGTTCTTAGCATAAGGCATATTCATCACAGGTCTACCACTTTCTGTAACAGACCTTTCAATACAAGGTTGGAGGACATACCTGCACAGGGAGGTTATCCTTGGCTTGATGAACTGGAAAAGAGCTATGTGGATAAACCCTACTGAACCTATGGTGAGTTTGGGATGTAAGTCATGAATTGGGACCATTTCCTCACAGTCTGCATGGATCAGGAATGTATCATCTCCCCCCCCATGCAACTACACTTACTGAGGTTTATGTGGATTTAACTCCATGCATCAGGGAAAATCCATTGCCAGCAATGAAATACTAATGCAAGCCCACTAACGGGAAAATACACCTTTTCCAACAACAGCTATTGGCAGCAGCCTTCACAATGGGAAAAGAGTAAACAGCATCACAACCCACTGATCTGCATTAAACAGGTGCCCTCAACAGGTGTCATACTGCCATCCACTGATGTTCCTCCAGAAGATTTCCGGACGCATCCATCAGGATGCCTTTATTTCCTCTCCACTCTAATTACCAGCACAGGTATCTGATGAAGTGAGATGCAATCACACTCTTGAGCTGCTGGCTGCCAAGCCTGTACACATTCACCTGCGTAGCAGAAATGAAATGCAGCCCTGCTTTCAGATAGCAGTTTTCTGTTCTGCAGTGAGTATCTGCCAATCTCCATCTACCTGCTATGCTGTGCACCAGACTTTCTGAGTAAGCCCTACCTGTCAGGAGAAGACAAGGGGTTCGCTTCAGTGACCTGGCAGCATGGTCCTCACAGCCCCAAACACCATTTGTTCACATTCCTGGAAGGACTCCACAGTGGATGAGTGCCACTGGGGAGCCCTGAATTAAAAAGGCAAGAAGCAAGCCAGGTAAGCAAAGGTTAAGACCCTAAAACACAGAGCGTGATGGACAAGAGAAGAAGGACAGACAGGTCACCAGGGCTTACAGAAGCTATGTGATACGCCTGGTGTGTTGATGAGTATGGAAGGACATGCAGTCATGTTCTTGCCTCCCATCACAGGTCCAAATGACAAGACACAATGGCAGCTCACTGTCTGTGTCCAAGGCAAAAGCTCTTTTCAACTGCTGGGCAAAGGAAGGACAGACAAAACGCTGGACAAAGGAACAAACCAGTCTACGTCTCTGCCAGTACAAGGCAAAACCAAGAAGTACACAGTGCACAATGACATGTCAGCCCTACCTTTTTGGAGAAACTGTGACAGTGTACCATATGTTACCAGCCTGAGTCCAGTCACTTTAGCAACACAGTGCAGAAGAGGGATTAAATTCCCTAAAGTCACTCAAAGCATTTTTCTTCAGGTAACTGTTTGCAAAGGTAGGACATTTTAACGACTGGAATTCGGAATTAAAATGAACTCTTAGAAATTTCCCTTTTCCAACAGGAAAGGCAACTGTTTTCTTTCTGGTTTAGCAGGTGGATACAGCAAAACGCGAAGAAGCAGAGGGATCTCTTAGTAGCTTAATGTAAAAGGAAAGAATCAAATATCCTAAAAGTGTGTCCTGCTGGGAGGAAGCATGCTGAAGACTGCAGTAACTGTAACCTATGAGACACAACCACCCGCACACATATATTTGAAGATGCCACAGTCCAGCCCTTCATGTCAGGGACTTCCACCCATTTCAAAGGAAGGTCTGCACACAGCTTGACTGGCTCAGGCTCCCACCCCAGACATTTTCCCATGTTGAAGATTCACTTACCTGCCTGGTTTGTGGTTACATTTACAGACACAAACTGCCGGGCTCCAGGGTTCTGGTCGGACACTCCATTCACTGCCTCAATTTCAAAGGTATAGTTTGTATGGGCAAGCAGATCCACCATCATGACAGAGGTGTTTTTCAGGCCGGTTTGCTGGGGGAGGTACCTGACATGACTGCCACACGCCTCACACAGATCTGAGTGTGAGTTGCACTTCTTGCATGCAATATAATAAGACACATCTTTCCTTCCACCAGTATCAGCAGGGGGAATCCATTCCAGAAAGACACTAGTCTCGTTAACATTTGAGATGGCACTCCGAGGAGCAGAGGGGGGTCCTGGTTTGTAAAGTGAGAAAAACACATGGTAAAAACAGTATTATCAGTCATCCTGCTCTCTACTACTCACTAGGCTGAAGAGAGATGCCCTGTTGCTCATGTGCCAGAAAGTACATTTTGCAGAAGCACCTGAAGAAGTGGGAAAATGGGGATTTGTTTTGAGTATTCCCACCTCTCCTCAAGGGGTCTGTGCTGGGATGAGGTCACCTGCATAGAAGGACAAGGCACAGGGCTGTCTCAAACTCAACAGGAGAAGCACTCCATCCCGGAGCATAGTCTCTCATGCTCTCCTTACTCTTCCTGAGAAGAGAGCTGCAAATCTTTGTTCTCCTCAAGTCACTGGCTTTGCCAGCAGCAAGATTCCCCCTCTGCACCCCACTGGCCCTATATTACTAGCCCTAGGTCCTAAAAAAAGGACATACGCTGTAGCATTCACACTCCTTAGGTACTCAACTCTGACACTAAATCTCTCCTCTGTGTGTACCCGCCTCTCCCCATCAGATATTTGGCAACAGTGAAACCTAAGCTTGGGCATGCAAATCACACCTAAATGAGATACTCAATGTAGCCCAAAGCAGATGGTGATCTACACGGGTCACTGGAAACATGGCCATATCCAGCTACTCAATGGCAGCCTTCTTGATCCCTGCCAAGCTCTAGCACAGTTGGTTAGCCACACTGTGCTTGCTTATTTTGCCAAGCCTCCCCGCTCAGGATGCCAGCATGGTGCTGGCAAGGCTATCAAAGGAGAAACAGCTGCTGCAGAGGTACCAGAGCTCCTGCAAAAGATGAGCTGTTTTCCTTCATCCTGCTAGGAAAGACCCCAGCTGGGCAAGCAAAGCCCACCTGGAGACACCTTCAAGACTGCTTACTTGCAGAGGTGCTGCAAGTGTTTTTAACAGGCTTGTGTTGGAGATGAAGGGCAAGCTGCATATACACCCTTGAAGACAATGTGAAAGGACAAGCAGGAATCTCATGAAAGAGATTCATGTGTTATATACTCAGGGAATGCTAATGAATGAGGAAGAAAGAGGAAATTTATCAAAGCAAGCCAGGAAGGATTTTAGTCACAGCACCACCAGAAGCTATGAAGCAAAGACTGGGATTTTTCCAAGGGAGGTTGATGAAGGAAGGCAACACACTTCCCTTCAGTTTGAATCAAACTGTCAAAACTCATGAGCAGCTCACTGAAAAGAGCCCAACAAGTAACTTCATCAGCTAAAAATCCATATGAACTCAAGTCTGTCTTAGGTTGTCACCTTCTTGTTTTGTTGTAATAATTAAACTCAATATCATATTTTAAACAGGCAGTGTTGCAAAACTGAAACTACCTTATAAACCAGAAGCACTTTCCTCTATCTCCCTTTCCTATTCCCCTATTTAAGTCTATAAAATTGGTAACACTGATAAAACACTGTCATGATTTCGACTCAAGCTGTTATGATTCAGTGAGAACCTCGCAGAGGAAATAAATAATACTGATTATTTTTTTTTTTCTCCTTGGGAGGAGGGAGGAAGGAAATCAGTTGAATACAAAAGCTAAGTTAGTTTAGGAAATAACACAACTGCCTTGTTTGTCCTGCGATCACTTTAGATCACGGGAAGCAAGCCACTCGCAATCTGAGCCACAGGGACCCACTGCTACTTAGCTAATGACACCAAAGTACAGCCCAAGTCAGGACTATTTTCTGCACTGTCACACTCATACTGATACAATGGAAAGTATGAAATTCATCCCTGGAGCTGTGTGGAGTTATATATACTGCACTCAGAGGTTTTCTATATGTTTCTACTGTTTAGATTGGCCTATTTTTTCTTCCAGTGGATGAATGCCTTTTTACTGCTACCAGTACTCTAAGAAAAAAATAAAGAAATCAGGCACAAGAAACACTTACTGGACAACGTGTCTTTAATTAGGATAAGTTACTACTTTTGCAAATTCACCAGAGATTTTTACTTCGCTTGTACAGAAGAGTCAGCTGCTGCTCTTGAAGGCTTAAAAATATAAACTTCAGTGGAAGCACTTTGAAGCTAGTGGGACATCATAACCTATAAAATTAGCATTCTCACAGGGGCTCAGATAAAGATCTTTAGTAGTGTACAGATATCTTACAAGACCTACTTGACGAATCCTGAAACCACAATGGGTAAAAATCTGATAAATCACAGCTGGGATAACAAACTAGTGTTTTATCTTTGGAAGAGGGGGCCCTAGGTCTGCTAGAAAGGTCCATTTTAATTTCCAACCTCCTTTTACCAAGGACAAAGATACTAGTTTACAGATATATATATCTGTGTGTATATATATATTCATGTATATATATAATGTATATATGTATATTATGTATATATGTGTGTATATATAATGTATATATGTATATTATGTATATACGTGTGTATATATTTGTATGTATGTATTTGTTCGCTAATTTATACCCTGAACACCCCTTCTGCACCACCATTTACTGACTAGATTAGAGGCAAACACTTTCTGAAGACAAACATTAGTATTTTTCTTGATGGACATCAAACCTGTTATTTGCTGATGTAAATATTTAAAAAACATAACCTGAGGATTTACACTCTAGATATAAAGATGTATATGTATGCACTCAAAATAAAGTTAACTGTAAACTTCTTGTGAGTAGGACATTACACTAAATACTATAAAATCTTCAGTTTGTCCTATGTTTCATACTACTAAACATATTTCCCCAATATGCTCTGAACAGCAATAGGGTTTCTTCTCTGAGATGGGAGGTGGGGGGAAACCAAAGAGTGTAACTATGTTTGTTTTAATTTCAAAAAGATGATGCTTAAGGAACTGAAGCTAGGATTACTTAGCTATAATCAAGGTCAATATATAATATAAGGTCAATAAATATTTCAGACTGCATTAGAGCAGTATTAATTTCAAAATCACTGAACATTACTTATAAAACATGCATATGGAACTGGAAAAATTAAATTAAATCTATTTTTTTTCCCTTCAGTGTACTTAACTGAGCAGTTAACAGTGGTGTAGCAGTTAGTTTTCTTCAGTGATGCTGCTGGTGGTGGGGAGACTCATGCAGCTTGGAACTGAAAAGCATTTGCTTTAAATAAGGAAAATGTCATTTCATAGCTACAGCAACTGGCAAGGGGACTTTGCAGATACAGACCTGAAGATGGACACTGATAGATTCTCTAAAACTAACAAGATTTCAAGGTGAGGGAAATCTACAAATATTATTAAATTCTGTAGTAATAAATATTAAAAACATACTGAATCTTTGCAGTATTTCCCTACCAGTCATGACTTAAGTCTGTCTTGCTTGTGTTTCAGTTCACAATGAGATGTTCCTTTTCAGATCTATTTGGACTAGCTTAAAACGTTAGTGTCACTACCTTCTCTTCACTGTCTCTGACAAAATTTACTACTTATTTTTTTATTAAAAAAAAAAGAAAAGAAGAAGAAAAATAAAAAGCCCAAACAAACAGAAAGAGAAAATCCCATAGTATGTGCAGAATCAGAAATTACAGCCTTTACCTACAGCATTCAAATTGCACCAGAAACTTGGGCGTGACAGGCACTCAAGTTGTACTCCTTTTTAGTATGAGCTGGTCATCAAGCTTGCTTGCGCCTCTGAAAATCCTGCCCTACACTCAGGTCATAGGCACACATAAAGCTCTTCCTTGGGAACTGCAACTCCTTCCCTGTGTTGCTTCACCAGCAGAACAGGCTGGATACATACCCCTCCATCCTGAGAAGGAACAGAGAGCAATATCATTGATGACGGGCAGGAGGTACTGCTGACACTGGCAGCCTGGCATACCTGTGTCAGTCTCTAGCTTTGGTTCTGCCTGCACAGAAAAGCTGATTTTATGTGTGTTTCCAGAGCTTAAGTATTACCCTCCCTTCCTATTTCCCAGTACCATGCTGGACCTAATCGTCTCTCATTTATCTAAGTCAGGCCGAGGGGCAAAATGGACATCAAGAAACCCTGGTATCAACGTTTTTCATGCTGTAACCCACCCCAGCCACTGCTCCAAAAGACACCAGCATGCCTATTAAATAAACTGAGAAGTGCTTGCATGATTCATCCCCCTAGACCATTTTGATCTGACAGCACCAGCTACTGGTAGCCGCCTAAGGCTGTCTTCTCCTTCCCTGTAGCACACCTTCCAATAGGCACATGCTTTATGCTCCTTTGGCTGGTGAAGAGCAAACACAGAGTTCAAGGGCCCTGATTCTATTCTGAGTGCCTCCTTCAGGCAAGCAGAGACCTGCCGAGGGCAATTTCCTTTGTGTCTCTCCAACAGGAACAGACTTTCTCTTTCTGAAGTGCAAACTTGGGAAGCTAGGAAGAACTTCTGTATTCACTGGGATGAAGGCACAATAAACCATGCTTTTGATGAAGGCACAAAAAACCATGCCCACATGATGCAAGGAAACAGTATGGAAGGCACCTCTGCACTATGTCCCAGCGGCTCCAAGCATGCATGGACACATACACCTACTTTTTCCTCCACTTGGAAGCTCTATCTCTTCCTGCTCCAGTAGCTCAGCTCCTCTTTGGTCCCTTTTAACCTCTTTTGCACCACAAAAAAAAAAAAAATCATTTGGAGCATGAGAGACCCAGAAAAAACTTGTGGTCTGTGCTACACTCAGTGAGACTAGCTGGACTGTGGCAAAATGTGGCCCTCAGAATACTAAACATAAACTGAAAAAGAAACTTTCAAAGTACAGCTGACAGGACAGCTTACAGATGGCAGGAAAAGGGCAAAATTAGTGACTCTGATTCCACAGACTCCACCTTGAACTTCCAATACCCCAATTTGCTCATTATCTACCCTTCCCTTACAAAAAGGGGAAAAGCTCTACATTTCTGCTGCAGGTTTGGAGAAGCAGTTTCCATCAGAGTTTTGAGGCTACCCTGAAGAATGACCTTCTCCAGATGGATTGGAAAGTTAGGGGTCTCTCCCTGCTTGCTCGTTGAAAATGAGCTAAGAGAAGATACTAAGCAGGAACATGTAGACTCTATCCATGCCTAGCACTGACAAGTGCTACCCACCGTTTCCTAGATGTGTGTGCCCCACACTGGTACCCATGCACTCATCGATGCGGGTATCTGAATGCCATGCTGCTGGCTGAGTCTGCCCATAAGTGGCTGGTGAGAGATGCAGCGTTTGGTCATTACACAGTCACAGATCACAGAGTCATTAGGGTTGGAAGGGACCTCTGGAGACAAAAAACACTTCCTGGGTTTAATGCCAGCTTTTGAAGCAAAAGGCTTTGGAAAGTTTATTCTTGTGTAACCAGAGGTCTGGTGAACAAAACCAGACATTAGAAGTGTGTCAAGACTAGTTCAGACTCCAGCCCAGAGCCTGTAAAAGCACATTAATTAGGATCATTATGTCCAGTCATAGTACAGGAACATCTTGAAAGGATTAAAAATAACCCTATAAGCACATGCTTACTTGTACAGGCCATTGTAGGTGGGTCTGATTCCTTCCTAAAATAGTGTTCTTCACACAGGCAAGATGTGGATGCTTCATCAAGCGTGTAGCTGTGAGGGGGACATTTGCTGCAGGATGGACTGTGGGGTGAAGCTTTGAAGAACCCAGGTCTGCATACTGTGAAAAGAAGAACCACAGGCTAAGCTCTCCCATCATAAAATTAGTCTCTTCACATTTCCTTAAAAAAATAAAACAAAACAACCAAAAAACCCCAACCCCAATAAAAATGTATGTTCAGCTAGAAAACAGACAAACACTTGCAAGCTATTTGGTTTGCATATTTTAAAACAGTCTAAGACACTAGCAGTCAGTGAATACTGAAATATCTGCATGAAAAGATAATGTGAAGCTCTTGATTATTCTTTTTCCCCTAGCATCTGCCTTTGCTGGGCATTTATTTTCCTTGTTGAATGCATTAGAGGCAGCATCATTTGGGCTCTACTTTAGAAAACATTATTGTGCTTGGGGATTTTTTTCATTCAGTCTTAGAAAAACAGGTAAAATACATCTCATGTTTTTTGTTTAAGATGTTCTACACCCAGAAATCAATGTCTCAGCAAACAAATAGCAACACAGTGGTGGAAGGACCTCAAGATTGACAGCTTTAAGACACTGTGATAAGGTTACTTCCCTAGGGTCTTTTCCTCTGCAAACCTATGATGAATTTTAAAGTGCTCCATACAAGACAGACTGCTCTGGGTATAGCCTGAACCATCCCAGCTCCAATATATATGCATGACAAGGCACAAAGACTTGATACAAGAGCTGTTTTTCATTCTCACAAACATATGGATTACTGTAGCTTAGGAACATTTATTGTTTTCTTTTTTTTTTTTTTAATAATTTTAAGTGAATACAGTAACATCTTGTTCCCAGCCTCCTGAAAAATGCACTTTCACCTCAGCACAGCACTCTGCACTTCACCTGTGTGCGTGCACTCAGCCAGAAGCAGTGAAAAGCATAGGTTTGCATGTATTCACCCTGCCATTAGCACAAAAGCAGCTGGCCCTGTAATCACACTGTTATATACAGAATTACAAACCCACTGTTAGCAAAAGGAGAAAAACTTGATTTTGTGCTTCTCTCAAAAAGCAGAGACATGGAGATAAGTTAAAGCAGCTCCAGGACACTGCTACTTTCTTTTTCCTTCAGAGATGCTTTAAAATGATTCTGCCCAGTGTGATACCAATGATGCCCAGGTCTACTGTCAGACTTACGAAAGTTACCTGGAAATCCCATCTGCATTCAAACTTCCCCAGTTGTAGTCAGTTTGCAAAGAAAATGAGCTCACAAAAAAAAAAAAAACATTAATATTATCCCATCAGGAATGCCCCAGACAAACATAGTATGAAGATCATGTGCTAAAATTCAGCCAGTAATGACAGAATTCATCTTCATGGTAGATAAAGTACATTTCATTGCTAGAGATCCCTTTTCCTCTGATGGACCAACTAAGACAACTGCTTCTAAAACTGATATGCTTCCCTCAGTACCAGAGAACAGTCTCAACATCTTCCCTTTTATGCTGCTAGCTTCACCAAAGGTGAGAGACTTGCAGATCAGCTTCTAACTCCTGGAGATAACCAGTAAGTCTGTTGATCAGGAACACCCATGAATCAAAAGGGATGTGATCCAAGAACATCCAGAACTTCAACTCCACAGACATACTCAGAACATGAAGCTCACCCATTCTATGCCATGCAACCCTGAAGCAGTTCACAAGCCCACCACAGGCTGCCAGATCTCCATCATGCATATGCAGCCTCTCCATCTCTCTATGTCATTATGGGACACTCATTTCCAGCATCCCTGCTGACCTCCCCAAACCGGGCACCCTCCCATACCTTCCCCAAACTCCCTTTTCTTCCCACAAGACAGGCAAAGAAATTAGTAGAACTGGAGGGATTTACAGGTTTTAAAAGCCCTGTAAAATCCTGTAATTTTCAAAACTGTTGATCATCCAACTAGTGCTCTGCACCTAGGCTGTGAGCTCTGAAGGATGCAATCATCTACTTTGTGTCCGTACACCAGGATCGGTGAACAGACCTAGGGCTGAATTTATTCTTGATGGTTGCTAGCAGACTTTCCACAACCTGCTCTTGTGCTTTATGGTATATTCCTCAGTTTCTAGCACAGAGTTGAGTTGTTTTATTTACTTCATGACCACTTTCAAATGCTGCCCTTCCTACAGCAAGGACTTGTTACACAATTGCTGGAGAATCTTCTGGGAGAGGAGACCACCAAACAGCTCCTCTATAACCTATAATTTGTATTTCAAAGCCAAATCAAACTCACTTGCACCTGCAGACAACAGAGATGGGGAAATGAAAGCACAAAAATGTGCAACATTAATGAGGGCAGCCCATGTCTAGCATGCACTTGATGTAATTAGCCTTCAAAAAATGATTTGAATTTACCTCATTATGTCCCATCAAGACAGACAGAAAATCATTACAGCACAAGAGTTTAACATGTTTCTATTTTGTGCAAAGCAGCAAATGAAGAATAAGTCAGTTTTCCTTGACAGACTTTCAACAAGGTGCAGCTTGTTAATGATGGTATGATATGTAGCTCAGCTCAAAGGGAGTGTTTGGTTTTTATGAATAAGTACAGAGTCAACAGATGTGCAACACTAATAACACATGTTTTAATAAGGCATGTGAAATAAAACTGAACTGAACCAATTTCTGTATAATCCACAGGTTCCCATGCATCAGGCAAGTCACTTCCCTATCCAAAAGGCAGAAGAAAGAACAATCAAGAATATTAAATTACACTGAAGCCAGAAGAGTAGCGTGCTACCATATCTAAGCGAAATACTCTTGTGTTGGATACAAAGGAAGAATTCAGGGGCAGGAGATGGGATATGCTAAAAAAGGAAGCACAGGAAATAAAAATAAATGCAACAATTAGCATAGCAAGTGGTGGCATGCCAAGCCCACGCTCCTGCATCAGATGCTCTGGGGAGGACAGAACAGGATTTGCAGGGTACCCCCAACATAGCCTTCCAGCCTCTCATGGCTAGCAGCTTGGGGACCACTCCTGATGGGAAACACACTTGCGCTACCATGCTCAGAAGCAGAAGCAGCTGTAGCTGCAAGGGTGTTTCAAACATAACTAGTATCTATTAAAACACTTCTCTCTGTATACTTTCCTATGTTTGCTTTGTACCTGACACAAGGGAGAGGATAGATGGATGAGATGGTTCAAGCAACAATCTTGTAATAAACAGGAATGCTGTGATAAAATGGATACTGTTAGATGAAAGCTGACCCAGGAACATCTTATGCCTCCACACTGCACAGCAGGTATCATGGTAGCCAGACGGGCACAGTCTTGTCTGAGCTCAACAGCCAAAAGCAGGGGCTAGTACCATGTCATTTTTCTGCCACTGGTGGTAATATCTCAGGTATTTTGGAAACTGGATTCAGAGTAGAATAGGGCCACAAACACCTTGCACATACCTTGGGTTTTGGTCTTTATCTCACTATTCCTCTTCTGACAGTCAACCTTACAATCTCTTCATAAAGTATACATGACTTTTTTAAAATTACATGCATGTCTTGAGTTTAATTTCTAATTGAATCTTATTTTAGTCTTCTTATATTTTTATCTTAGTATTTCTAATTCAACAGCTCTTGAAAGGATATGTAGAACTAGCACCGTACAGTCACACATGTAAGGGTACTATTTCCAAGGTGGGGGGAAAAGGAGGAGAATTAAGATGAGCGCAAGACTCCCCGCAATCTGCTGCAAGACAGCTAAAAAAAATAAATTAAGTTTTAAGCTGGTGATGAGATCTGCTTCTTCCTAATATTAAAACTGATAACTCCTTAACTGATTAACAGCCACTGATGTATGAAAATAGACTTTAAATGAAATTGGTTGCTAGAAAAAAATAAAATAAGAGTATTTTTATACATAGCAAATATGCATAAACAACCTGCTGGTGTTAGGTACAAGTGTGATGTGTTTCTCTTAGTAGCACATCCATTATTAGCAATTATTTTCACCCTTTTTATTCTTAGTAGCAACCACAAAATGTTGTGGGCACCGAGCATTAACATCTGTGCAGTCTTCTGTTTGCCCACTTCCGGATGGGCCAATGAGAGATAGCTGCAATGAACAATGGCAGTAAGAACCTCCTGGGACACCAATGGTGTGAACTGATCCCTTAAACTGGCAGTGATTGGATTAGAAACTGGCTTTGCAGACAGAATCCTACAAGAGCTGTGCTGAGAGAAGCTGGCTCTTCAAATGTGGGTGGATGGAGGAGGGATCACCTGTACTCTTACGATGAAAACCACCCCCTTCAAATGATATGCTATGATGTGCTATATCAGTGCTAGAGACAGTGAGCACCAGTGGAGGGTGCGAGGTGGGGGGAAGCAGGCAGAGTAACAATCAAACAGCTGCAACTACTTGACAGCTTATTTTCTGCAAGCCTTAACATGAGATGATTCACAGCTGCATCACTGCAACCACCCCTGAGCTTCATTCAATGGGCAGGGTTTCTCCCCTCTCTGGCTACCCTGTTGCCTCTGCACCAACCACAGGCTACAAGTGCTGGAAGCAAGAACCACCTTCAAGTCTTTCCATATCCACAGGCACATACATGGCCATACAGGTAAAGCAATCCAATCAATATTTAGTAGGAATTCCAGTTTTGTCCTTGGAAATAAAAAAGCTAAGAAGCATGACCCTGTAAGTGTTGAAACTCCAGGAATCATGAAAAAGGTCCAACCTATTAGTCCCTTTGCACTCTCCTAATGCTGGGAGGATAAGCTCAGACTACTTAAGTGCTTAAGATCAGCAAAGCAACCTTTCATATATCGTAGAAAACAAAGCTCAAACAGGAATTACAGTCTCTCTTGCAGAGCACCAAATTAGTCTCCACAGTAATCAGAAATTACAAGTATAATTCATGAGGCAGTGCCACTAATCCATAAATAAAGCTAATGGACAAAATCTTACAAAAAAATAATGAGGATGAGGATGCCTAATCTAGACAGAGCACAGGTTATCTGGCTGAAACAGGTTACCTCCCCAAAACACAAAATCTCTTTTGCTTTTTCTTCCAGTCCTTTAGTCTCATTTGCTTTTCCAGACTGCAAACT